GCTGGGCGCGGCGCGGAGCTGCCCCGGCGCATGTCGTGACAGAAGTGTCAGCCTGCCTGTGGGAGCTGCCATGACTTCTGTCGTGACAGGAGCCTCGTCCAGCCGAAGGGTGAGTGTGGGGCTGCCCGCGCTTCTGTGGCGGCAGGAGCCTCACCCCGCCGTGAGCGCGGCAGGGAGGCCCGAGGGCCGGGTCCCTCCGCGCCGGCACCCAGGGGCTTCGTTGCCCGGAGGTCCTGCCCCTGCGCCGACCCGAGCCGTGTCTTGTGCACAACTTCCCCGATTCCCGCCGCCGCCATGGCCCGCTGCCCCGCCGGCAGAACCGTGCCACGCACCCTCAGCCCGGGCTCGCACAGAGACAACGTAAGGAGCTACAAACCGCACAGTGTGAGTTCAGCAGCGGGAGTGGTGTGAGGTGCCAGCTTTCCTCGGCACGCTATCTCGATAACTGACACAGACTCGCAAACCAATATAGAACACAGAAAACCGACGGATTTAGCCATCCCACCCTGTAATTCACAGAAACTTCAATGAACACAACGCAAACTGAGATCGGCACCAGCTGACACTAATGACACCTGCAATGCATACACAACACAGCAAGCAGTTCAGTGCACAGTATAAATACCTTCCCTTAAAAACACTTGGTGCCGAGCGATGTTCTTGTATATGCATGTGCAAGTATAAAAGCTGATCTCTACATGTGTGCTGGCTTACATAAATACAGATCCTACATACAATCTGCATATCCATTGCTCTTACAAGCCACCCACAGTACCACGCTGTAAGATACTGTATGTCTGATCTCAAAGGAAAATATCTTAGTTTTACCTCTGTATTAGCAAAAGAAGTAATGAGAGGGGACAGCCAATACAAAATTACAATGTTCTAAGGTATGTGTGGCCCTATATCCTTTCTAGCAGTACAACTGCCCCAAGAGACTCCTCTGTAGCCAACGTCCAGAGAAGAATAACTTGACAGCATGTCCACACTTGGCAGGGCAGTTCTGCATAAAAATCCACAAATTAGATTTGATGATCTAGTTCAGGTGTGACAATCACTTATTCCATGCCTTGTCTGTATTAATTTTATCTTGCTTATCATCAGGATTAATCAGCATGGCCAAATGTTGCTTGAATACAGTTATGTTGTTTCTCATACCACTACCTCACGCTGCACATATATAGACATACCCTGACTGTTACAGAGGTAAAAAATGTCAACAGAACAGTTTTATACGGTTTATATAGTTTACTGTTTCTCACCTAGTTTTAATACTTTATATTGTATGAACATGATCCCATCATCCCCAAAACATAACGGTAGTCACAAGGTGCACATGCATCTGAAATTAATACTTACAAAACAATATATTTGAAAATATGCACCCACTGCCAGCAAAACTGCTGATCGATGCCTGTCACAGGCCCACCTAACCCACACCTGAGTTCTCAGCATCCTCTAACACACCAGTATGTCCGTATGCACCTCTGTGTTCAGACACCTCTGCATGATAGACTTAGTGTCAGCCCCCATATTACGTGCATATGCAACATAAAAAAATACATAATTTTGATAATCATGATGTACAGAATAATGCCAGCTCCTTGAATTAACATATTTCACTAACAGCACAGTACATCTATAGGAGTAGTTTCCTCCCTTCTATCACGTTGACACAGCCTGCATTATATGTAAGCTTTTTGTAAAAATACCACAGCAATGTTTTTACACCCAAGCATATTTTACTAGCCTTCATATGCAAGGGCACATGTAAAGGACTTGAAAGTCCTGCATTTCATTTGCTTAGTATTTTTAAGTATTATTTTTAAAATGTAGAAGAGCAATGCAATTAAGCATCAGTGGCAATTTTCAAAACCAACTGGTATTAGAAAGAAACCCGGGTCATATTTCATATTATTTCTCCCTGTGATATACTTTGTATGTCATTGTTGGTTTCCTTTTTGTGCCTGTTTCCAAAAAGGCTTATGGAAAATTATTTTAAGCATACCAGAACCATGGCATGTACAATTAGAGCTTGGCAGAGTGTATAATAAAGTAGATATGGTGCCCTTTCAGTCTAACTTGTTAACAGGCAGAAATACTGCTAGGAAAGCTAACAGAGTTTGCATTCTAGTGAACCTAGCGAACTCTTGGCATTCTCTGGGATTCACTTGTTCAGCTACAGTTTGACAGCTCCACTTCCATTGTTCCTCTTTCATCCGCTACAAATAGAGGAGGTGATTCTTGCCCTTTTTCCCCACCTTTTGAACACAGACCCTGCCTAAAATATAGAACGGAACCTGGAAGCACAGTCTTCTGCCTGTGTTTATTTCTGTCCTGTGTTCTCTTATGGCTCAGTGAATTTTGAGAGAAGAGTGACTGAGTTGAGAACTGTTCTACAGACCTTTCTCTTCCAGAGCAGAATAAACTGCATCTCCTTCATGATTGCTTCTCTGTCTTTCCACAGATGTGCAAGACTGATGCTAGCTGACCGGTGAGGATTTCTTTGTAGGTTCTACCCTCCAAATCATTAAAGATCTTCTGACAGATGCACATTTGAAAGACATTTGCAGATACAATGCTTGGTCTAGACAGCATAGTACAGAATGAACTACAAATACCCATGTAGATACTGCACCAGAAGCAGTACCTGCTAATTTTGGCATCACTTGATATGATACACATTTAGAATTGTGGATTGAAATCAGTGTTATTTCCAATCACTATGCAAGGATTCGTAAAGTTTCCTATGAAATTTGTCTTGTTTCTTAAGGAAGATGGTTATCTTGACCCAAATCAGAATGACAGCACCACAGTTCTGCCTTAAAAAGCCCATGAAAGCTTCCAGGTGATTAATACTTCCAACAGGTACAGATAGCTTTATATTCTCCATTTTAAGGAAGAAGGAAAACAGTTTATTTTGCTGCTGTGAAGTTGCAGTTCGTTTTTAGAGTGGCACCCCTTAGAGTGGTACCTTGGAAAGAAACACAGCAAACTGGGCCAGCTTTGGCCTTGATGAAATTCCATTCACATAATGGAAGTATACCATTCATACATTTGGCCTACTCTCTCTTTTTTTTTTTTCTGTAATATATTAGAAGAAGCAGCCAACACATCAGGCAGCAGCATTAAAATGGTTCCTGTAATGCTTACTAATTGAAGTAAATGGGAATTTGGCCTGAGAGAGGACTGCAGGATGCTTTCCTTCAAATTGCAATAACATTAAGTCATCCCTATTGCTGCAAAGCAGATTCACTGTAGAGTTACTGGTCATAATGTGAATTGTCTCTTGCTGTACACAAAAACATATGTTTCGTAGCTCAATTTTCAAAGAAGATTAATAGTTTTTACTGGAGCTAAATGCAGCACAGAAGGACACCACACAAAATGCCAGTTTGTTGAGCCAATACACCTGAATGCTGACCTGCAATAGCCTTCCTATTTCAGGCCTGGATCTCGTTTCGGTGGTCATAGACAAAGTTATATTATTCTGCTGAACTGTGCCAAATTACGTCATGATTTTTGCAGACTGGCTAGTTGCCTAACAGGGCTTAAGTTGAGACCACCAAACTCATTGCTCTTATTACTCCAGCTGATTTCAAATACAAGTCTTCATGAGTGACAAATGGGGACATTGTTTCTTCCTCCTACGGTACTATTTTTTTCCTCTTAAATTATGGTTATTAAAATGTTTCAGCCACTTGAAATCTACTAAGACATATTAAAATACTGCAAAAGTGCTGTATCAAAGTGGAAAGGTTTTAAAACTGCAGTTCTGTCATAGGATAATGCAGTTTAAATATAGTAACTCTTTTTTCCAGTCAGCTTGCTCTTTGATTTCATGGTATTATGTCAAGGGGTTTTTTTCCCCTCTTCCCCTTTAAGAAGCTTATAGCTTAAACAGCAAAATGCAAAAAAATACTGAGATGAAACAATTACACAAACCCAGTAGAAAAATCAGTGATAAAATATTAGTTTGAATTTTGATAATTAAGATAATCTGAGTTTATTCTGAATAACTGTTATTTCTAGGCAATATGTGTTCCTCCATCAGCAGCAGGTAGAATCTGACTTCCACTGAGACTGAGAGACTGTGAATACAAAGGGTAGTGTTGCTGCTGGGAGATTTCTAGAACTGGATCACTGTTCCTGCACAAGCAGCTGCTTGCTGCCTTGGTAGTGTAAAAGAGACAAGAGACGTTCTCATCTCAATGACAGTAACTATAAGAGATCACAATTTGGCTTGGTAGATTTATTCTTTCATTTCTGTATCCTATGGATAGTCACTTAGTTTGTCAGCAAAGACTCCATTAGAGTATTTGCTACAATAATCTCCATTTCCCTGTTTGGAAAAATCTTTCTGTCTATCCCATGCTGATGTCAATAGGAGATCTAGAAGTATGGGAGAGAGCAACGTTGTATCAGAACCAAGATCCATCATGCATGTCTGAAAAAATAGTTTATCCTTATTTGATGGCCAAGTCTTTTTTCTTAAAGGGAAATCAGCTTGACTGCTATCTTAAAAATGCACAACATTTTTAGAAATAAAGCACTGGCTGGTGCCCAGGAGCTTTGAATTCTTATCTCATCCTGACCTGAATTTTCCATCTAATTAAGGTCTAATTCTGATTAATTTGGCAGCTAGCTGCCATTTTTTCTTGTGTAAATATCCCTTGTGTGCTTCTGGATCTCAAGTTTTCTCTCTGTAGAAGGGGCTAGTAGGCATGCTACCAAGCTTGTTGGGGGCTGTGTGGCCAGGCACAATATTTATAAAATGGCAGAGTTTGTTGTTTGCAAGGTGTTGTAAAATTGCCCTACATTTTCTCTCTGTAACAAGTTGACGGCTAACTGGGGTATCATAGCTGTGATCATACCATATTTCATATATTTACTGAATCACAACGAAAAGCCACACTCTCTCTGACTTTTCAAGACTGAAAGGAAGACATCCAGATGCACTCCATGTAGGTGAGTAGCAGTAATGTAAGACTGAAAAGCTTTTATTAGTCATGGAGATTACTTCATTTTTTGCCATTGTTTGGGACTAATGGCACATGACTACCCCTTTTATCAGACTTGTGACATTCTGTGATATGACATAAGCTGAAG